ATTCTGGGAGTTGAAGTCCACTCATCTTAAAGTGGCCAAGTTTGGACAACACTGGAATAAACCATGATTGGGTTCCCCAACACGCCAGTTCCTCAACTCTGCTTCACAAACTGCAGGAATAAGGGTCTGCGTGGCGTGTTCTTCTCAAGCAAGCCAATTAACAATTCATCTAGTGTGTGATTGACTGAAAACCATTCATTGAGTTCTCCAACAAAGTGGGACTTGAACAAGAGCGTGCCAACCCTGACATGATGCCTCACATCCTCTCCCTCTTCTTCTTTCCCAGGAAATGTAAAATTGTCACAAGTGGGCCATGGCTGGAAGGACCTCCAATTGCTTTGCGGGATGTTTCTATCATGTCACGATCTTCTGGGAGTAAGGAAGAGTTTGTTCCTCTTTGGGCCATCAGCGACAAGGGGGATGTACTCTGCCGGCAGCACGTCACTCCCCAAAACCCAGCAGTAAGACTTTTCCCTTCTTTGTTACTGTTTCCTCTGGCCTAGCTTTACTCCAAGCATTCCTGGAGATTAAAATAGTTATTTTAACTCCCAAGGATCATCTTTCTTAACTCCATGAAAAATATTTTGGTGATTGCATTTGAGGAAGCTCAGTTTACACATAAGCAACATTGTCTTTGGGTTGAATCTGTATTGTTTTCTTGGCAACAGTGTGGCTTTGTTCTTGTACGTTATTTCATATTTTTTCAGTCTTCCAGTTGAATTTACACCATTTGGATGGTGTCCCATCCAAATGCTAATCAGGGTTAACTTTTCTGCTTAACTTTTTTGGAGATCTAGCCGGGCACAGGTTGCATGACCCAAAGAAAGAATGGGAAGGGGCAGAAGGAAATGGAGGTACACGTTCGCCTCTTGAAGGTCTCCAAGAATCACAAAGGTTTTGTTATTCACACGTTCTCCCCCAATAGGGCACCTCCTGGCTGCATGTGGGAACAGACCAACCCTTCGTTTCAGTCTCCATAGGAGCGTTTCACCAAGTCTGGGCTATTGCACAAGATGGCTCGGCATTCTGTCGGGGTTCAGTGTCTTCAAAGAAACCAGAAGGTGAGTCCTTGGCAAGTCAAGAGTTCTTCTTTGAAGATGAAGCAGTGCCAACTCTGGCTTCATGCCAAGCTCAGTCCCAAACCTATATCCATCAGGTTATAAGGAGGTGAGGCGTATCCAAGAAAGCATTGTTAGAAACAGCAGCTAGTGGGTGTTCTTCCCACCCTGCTGATGGGCCAGAGTTAGGGTTATGGAACTTCTGCCAAGGCCTTCAACTGAAGAAGAGGTCACCCGGGCTGCCCTTCCAAGATCTCTGGCCTCTTCTTTGCTTCCTGCTCATTTGCACCAGTGGAGTAGATTGGGACCAGGAGGCGAATGGGTCACTGGGTACATTATCAGAGGAATGATGGCTTATGCTTCCCACCCTATCCAAACCTGGTTTGATTATCGTGAAGTTAAGGAAAGATCAGGCATATTTTAGTTTAAAGCAAGAAAAGGAGACAAACTTTTTGCAGGTGGAGTTTGTATGCATTTTATTTATTTATTACTAGATTTATATCCCAACTTTATTTTGTACAACGCCAAGCAGTGTATGTCCCATCTCCTGTTTTCCCCACAACAACAACAACCCTGTGAGGTGGATTGGGCTGAGAGCGAGAGCGAGAGAGAGACAGGCCCAAAGTCACCCAGCCGGTTTTCATGCCTAAGGCTAGAACTCACCGTCTCCTGATTTTCAATCCAGCCCCTTAACTTAACTACTCACCAAACTGAGTCACCAAAAAGTTCCTGGTGTGTTTTGAACCAGTCGTATTTGGGTTAGGAGACAGAAGTTATATTGAGGATATTTTGCTAGGAACAAAATAAGTGCTTTAAGTTTTGCACCAGTTAAAAGGGGGGGGGGGAGAAGATTTTTTTTCCCCCTGTAGAAAAGGTTAAGAGCCAAATTGGGGGTTTTCAGCCTTTGTCCATTAAACCCAGCCAACAGGTCCAAAATGTTGGCTTCATACAACATGGTGATTGTTGAATGTAGACCAAGGAGCCTGCAAATTTCTGACATTGGCCGTGTCTAACAAATCCATCTTTTCATTCAGCGCCTGCCTTGATTCAATCCTTGCACTAATTTCCTTACTTAGTTATTTACTTATTGCTGGTTCTCTGGGAATACCTTTGTCCAGGTGAATGCTGGTATCACATTCCTTCCCCTCTGAAGCAGAAGTTAAAGCAAGTCTCTGTGGGACGAACAGCTGTGCTGGCCATGGATAAAAATGGTGAGGAGGGAATCGTGAGCTGCTGGTTGGGCGTTTTAATGGTGATTTTGAGAAAATTCTTGTTTCTTTGAGTTGCTGGTCAGTTCTGGGATTGCTCCACCAGAAAGGAACTGCAACTATATTAGATAATCAGTGAACAATCCAAAATTGCTGACATACAAGTGTCAGAAAGCATTTGGTAGCACCTTGACTAATCCATTTTATTATAAACCATAAGTTTTCGTGAGCTGCAGCTCATGAAGAAAAAACATATGCCTTTTAATAAAATTTGTTAGCTGGAAAAGTTGCTACCAGACTCCTCTTGATTTTTGGCTCCCTTTGACTATCACGGCTCTCTGTCTACGATGACGTACAAGGAATAAGATGACAAACAGGTGTGAGGTTATTTCTGCTTTTTCTTAGGAGATTGGCCAGTGCATTCTTGTCTTTTATAGGTAATCTCTGGTTTCGTGCTGGAATCACACCGAGTTACCCGCAAGGATCTAGTTGGGAACACATCTCAAACAACATCCGTAAAGTTTCTGTTGGACCCTTGGACCAGGTCTGGCCATAACAACAAAGTATCTCTTTTAAGAACTTCAGCAGTGCCCTGCTAGATCGGACCCCTGTCCCATCTCGTCCAGTAGTCCGTTCTCACGGTGGCCAACCAACCGCACAAGGAAGCCCGCTAGCCTCCCAGAAGGTGGCCTTCAGAAGCAATCCCACAGCCCTCCAGGCTAAGAGCCCTTGATCCCCATGATGTCCATGAATTGGTCCAACCCTTTGTGGAAGCCAGCCAAGCTGGTAGCCAGCACAATTCCAAACTTTAATTATGTGTTGTGTAAAAACAAATCTTTTCTTTGGTCTGTCCCAGTTCTTCCAAGATACAATTTCATTGGGTGACTTCTGGTTCTGGCATTTTGGGAAGGGGAAAATAGCTTCTCCTTGTCCACTTTATCCACATCATGTGTAATTTTATACACCTCGATGATGGTGTATTCGCCTCCTTTCTAGACTAAAAAGCCCCAAATGTCACAACCTTTCCTCCTAGTGAAGTTGCTCCAGCCCTTGGGTCATCTTAGTTGACCTCGTCTGAACCTTCTCAAGCTCCACTATATCCCTTTGGAGGTGCAGTGACCAGAACTACACCCAATATTCCCGTCCCAAATGCTTGGCTTACATCTGAAAGGGTTTAAGGGTTTTCTAGGAAACGAGCATCTTGTGATTGGTCTCACCTGCCATGGTAGATGTTTCATGACTAGACAGACCCCCTCCAGGCTGCCATTTGGTGAGAGCACCTAATCCATGCTCTCCCAGTTCAGAACTTCCCCACTGGCCTCCAAAAGGATGCCCATCTTTCATGTGGGTAGTCCATGTTGTTGAAGGGTGGGCTGTAATGCTTCTCCAGTTATATCCTTGTTTTTTTAGATCTGGGTGATAGCTGACAAAGTTCAAGGGAGCCACAGCCTGAGCTGTGGGACTGTCTGCCATCGGACCAGAGTCCAGCCTATGGAACCAAAGGGGCTTTCCTGGGACTACGGCATTGGGGTGAGCATCAGAAGTGCAAGCAGTTGGTTCTTCCCTGCTCTGTAAACAGATGTCTAGGTCATAGGTAAAAGGTTTCTGAAGTGTCACATTTCAACCTGGTGGGAAGTTGGAATGGCCCTATTTTGTACTTGGACCATTTTGGGTAAGGTCAGAAGAGCATGGGACACCCTAGCCGCATGCTTTGATAAAGCAGCCTATGTGCCTGATGTTCTCAAGGGTTGAAAATCTCCTTTAAAAAAAGGACAACTCCCTCCCCTGTTTTAAATACCCACAAAGCTTTGCTCCCCATTTTCACCCCAAAACAGCGAGACTTGGGGATTTTTCCAACCCTTAAGCTATTCTCTCACATCCCTGATTTTGTAGGGAGGATGGGAACACATCACCGTACGAGGAAACGCAACCGAAAGCACCAAGATCGCATCGCAGGAGGGTTCAAGCAGCTCTCCCCATGACCCTAGTGGCTCAGAAGCTAGAGGAAGCTACCAGCCGCAAGCCACCATTTTTGTAGATGGCACCCAAGGCTTGGATAGAAACACTGTCCAGTGTTGACATGTCTCCAGAGACATGGTGGTGCGTGTTCTTTTTCCACATTCTGCTCATTCCATGTGCCCTGGATCATGGAAACTATCTAAATGTTGGACTGATTTTTGAACACTCGCTTTGAGTGTGTGAACAGACCAAGTAAACTCCAAGCATGCAGTTCATCTACCCTTCCATCTTGTATCTCTTCTGCAAGGCAGAAGTCAGGGTCAACCCAATCCCCATTGAAATGCTCCAACCTGGGCACCCCCCAGGTATGTGGTTGTCAGCTCCCACAATTCCCCAGTCAGCGAGGCCATCAGTGAGCATTCTGGGAGGTAAGTCCACTCCAAGGGAGAAGATATAATCTGAAGACCGCTGAATGGAGAGACTGCACAGCCGTCGCTTCAATGCTTGGTTGGGAGAACTGGATGTTTTTTGTGTGTGAATTCTGGTTGTGTTGTTGTTTTAACCCTTTAATTTATTGTCTTAGTGGTATTTCGTAGGCCGGATGCAATCAGATGTCCTGCAGTAACCCTGGATTCACTCCCATCAACTACACCTTTGTTAATGCTGGTCGATACATGATGCAAAATGTATGTGAACAGGGTCGATTAATCCTTTCTATAAACCCCCGCTTGGAGCGTCTTTGACCCTGATCACTGGCTTCCCTAGAGGCTGCGAGGGCAGGTCCTCAGCTACTGTGAGCCAGCCTCCCTCACAGGGTTGATGTGAATAAACTGAGCCAACTAGTTAATTCTACAGCAAGCACTCCTGTTATGTTCTTTGCTTCAAATGCCTCATCGGTTCTATGTCCATCACAAACTAATGAGAGTTAGCAGAGAAGAACTTGGGAATTGGTACCCAAGGTGGGCAACTGGCAACCCCTGGGTTAAATACAACCCATGAAAGTAGTCAGCATCTCCCCTTGCCTCTTGATTTAGAGCAATGTTTCTCAACCGTGGCAACTTTAAGATGTGTGGACTTCAACTCCCAGAATTCCCCAGCCAGCAGAGCTGGCTGGGGAATTCTGGGAGTTGAAGTCCACACATCTTAAAGAGGCTGAGGTTGAGAAGCAGTGACTTAATGCATCTTTTTGACAGTCGGTTTGTTTTTTATAATGCCACCCAAGTGAAGAGAAGGGCTGAAAATTTCTGCATCCCAGTTGAATAGTCCTGGGTCCTATTGACCTCCACCAGAACCAGGAGTGGTCGATCGAGTTTCCTCTAATGCTCCCTTTTTAGAGAGGCACAGTAACGTCGTGGCATGGTCGCAGAGCTATTTTGCATTTGAAATCAATACCTTTACATATCTTTCTACTTTAGAGCTGGATGTATAAATAGCGGCCCTGCCAAGTCAACGGAGTGAAGAATACGGGAGAGGTGGGGTGGGGGGTTTAAGCGTGACGTTCTTAA